TCCTTCTCCTTCTCCTTCTCCTTCTCCTTCTCCTTCTCCTTCTCCTTCTCCTTCTCCTTCTCCTTCTCCTTCTCCTTCTCCTTCTCCTTCTCCTTCTCCTTCCCCTTCCCCTAGTTTATCTTCTCCTTCTCCTCCTTCTTTTTCCCAAAGTAGTCAGACAAAATGTATAGTGAAAGGAGGCCTGTTTAGGGGTGGGGGTGATACTATTTCATAACTGAAGAATGTTGTCCCTTGAGGGAGAATACAGGCCCCCTTTAGGTCTTCACCTACAGCAGCAGCGGGCTGAGTAGGGGGGAAGGTGAACAAGGATTAAACATCTCAGCCACATTCTTCAGGGTGCCCTCAGGGGAAAAAACATATTTCTGCTAACAAGGAAAGGGCTGGATTTCAGCAATGCCAGCCTTCATCCCCAACTCCCTCATGTCCTATCAACCATGCTCAAAACTGAACAAAGGAGAGCTTCTCCCTTGCACAAATACACACACACACACAAAACCAAAAAGGGGCACATTTGGTTCAATCCTTGGCTTCAAGTGAGATCTTCCCTCAACTTGATGTCCTCCAGGAATCTTAGAACTGCCATAATCTCCTGTCAGTCTGGTTTGGGGGGGAAGATAAATGAGCTTCACCCCACAACCTTGACTTTGGGTTGAGGGTAAGTGGGGAAACAGGAGTGTCCTGGCATTAATAAATGGGGTAAGTGGAGATTAACTATTCTGGTTGGAGAGGAAGGAATGAAACGTTTGGGATATTGAGTATCATATGAGGGGGGAGGGCTGAATTACACAGGAAATACAACACTTCCTTAAAGGGCACTTAACTGGGTTAAAGACCCAGCAAGGGCTTTCACATAACAGGCTATGCTTGGTTAGCATTAACCTTGTCAGTTTGTTTGTGGCTCAGCAGGTCATGCAGGTCCAGCCACTTTGATCAGAGTGGGTGGTTCAATGTATTCATGTAATCGTAGAGTTGGAAGGGGTCATAAAAGTCCTCGTCTAACCCCCTGTGAATCCAGAAGTCTGGTTAGATGTATTGAATCCAGCCAGCCATAATGTGGTTGGATTTTAGCTTAAGTTTTGTAGACCCTACTGCTGTGGTTTGCAAACTATGCTGTATAGATTCCTGTGTTGTGTGAAAACAGTTGGTTGTGGCTTAAGCACCCTGTGGCTTGGTGTGATATGTATGAATGCGGACTTTATCAGCTGAACCTGGGTGGCAAGGAGATGTTTCATTGTGGCCTTCAGGAAGGTCCTGATCCAACAGATACTTTCACAGGTTTCCTTCTTCCTCACAAACACCTTAGTGGGAAGTGTAGCCAGGTATTTATTTATATGATTTATACAACCACCCATCTCAACATAGTGACTCTGGATGGCTCACAACGCATAAAAACATAATAAAGCGTCATTTGAAAGTAAAAAAGCCACAGTAATTTAAATAACCAGTTTAATTACACGCACCTATACAATACAGTGTGTCTGAGGCTTCTAGTAGACTAAATCAATCTTAACAACAGACACCTTGGCCTAAGGGAAATACCACGTCTTCGAGGCTTTACGGATGGCTAGCTTTTAAAATAAAGCTTAATTGCTTTCAATAAAGTTTGATGATTTTAGTAGAATGAAATGAAGAGAATGAAACAATCAACAGGAAAGAAAACAAGCACAGATTAAAAACATAATACCTGCGGTTCCATTTTTAAACCCATAATTGCATCTTGATCACACTGGGTAATATAGCAAGTTTTTCCCTTCCATCAACAGAAAGCCAGTTCAAAAGCAGAGCAAACCTATATTGTCAATCTAAGATTGTAAATCCCTACTTCTTCGTTTAGTGATATATTCCAACATGGGGGTCTGGTTCAAAAATGCATTCACATCTTTAAAACATATTGATCTTTGTAACTCACATGAACAAACTTAAGTATATTAAACCAATATGGGATGATGGTGAGACAAGCCCATATCATATGAGAATTAATGTGGTTCCAATAAAAGAGAATCTCTGTTGCTCAGGGTTGAACTGTGGAGTCTTTGGGGCTCTCTGAGCTTGGTGGTTTGCCTGCAGACGTTTCATGACCCAACTAGATAACATCATCAGTTACCCAGCTGGGTAACATCATCAGTGCTGATCAGCCATCAACAGACACATGGAGATAAACCACATTGACACACCATTCAAAAGAGACAATAAAAAAGCTAAGAAGGAAACAAAAAGATCAAAACGCATCCTCTCCAGCAGCCAACACTCAGATAAGCAGGGATTAACACCAGACAAATGGTCAAGGAGAAAACAACACCCTAATCAAGGAACTACCAAGGAGAAAACTTCTTCCCCACCCACATGGGCAGGGCAAGCTACTGTATAGAAACAGGGAGCAAACCCCACACTCCCTTGCACTGGTGACGTTACCTAGTTCACTAATGAAACATCTGTAAGCAAACAACCAAGCTCAGAGAGCACCAACGACTCCACAGCCAATGTGGTGTCATGGCAAAGATGCTGGAGCAGGAGTGGGGAGAGTTGGATTGTAGTTGACCCCAATCACCAAAGCTCCCTGGTGGACTTGGGGCCAGTTCCTCTGAAGAGCTTGGTGGTCCAGTGAGGAAGGTGCAGGACTAGGAGTGGAGATACCCAGGTTCTCATTTTTAGAACATAAAGATATTTCAAAAGTTGATAAACAACACATATTTTGAATCCATTCTTTAGCATCCACAATGCAGATTTCTTTCCCTTTATGTAAAATAGCCCCAGGCCCCAAAGCATTCTTTATAAAATGGCAAATTTGCACTTCTGGCTGATGACAAAGAAGGACCAAGATGGAGCCAGCACTGCATACAATCATAATGGTGTCCTCAAACTGGCCCTCTCAAGGACAGAAGACATCTCAGGAGCCTTGGAAATTCCACAGATAGCGGTTATATCCATAGCTGGGCACTAACCATCATTGATGGAACAACCTCATGCATATGGAGGTGTCTCCCTCAATGGTTGTCCTGTTGAATTTGGTGGAATGTCCATTCAAGTGTGCCCGGACGTTCATGCCACAATTCTTGAGATGTCCTCCTCACCCAAAGTAGAGATGGTGGATATGTGTGAGCAGTGAATTGTTCTTCCAAGATCTTTTGCAAAATTGGGTAGATAGACT